ACATTCATGTTTACGATGACGTCATTTGTCTCGTGCATACAAACATACACGCACACACGCACACACACACACAAACACACACATATACATACCGACTGTTTATATCTTAGTTACCTTGCTACTGCAATTGATGTTGCATACAATAACACCATCACTATCATTACTTCCATCAACATCATCATTACCACCATCATTACCATCATCATTACCATCATCATTACCATCATCACAAAAGGAAAAGAAAAAATTCTCCAACCTAGACTCATCGTCGCGTCCGGATGGTTACTAGGGTAGCAATCTCCAATATTACCTCCAACCCATTTGTTGTTTATGCAAATTAGGGACCAGATTTGTGTGGTGTTTGGGCATTTGACCGTGACCTTATCGGGGCCCAGCCAATCAAACTTCAGGGGCGTGGTTTGGTGAGTTGGCAAAATCGGAAGGCCGCATCCTATTACTGATTAATAAGGACGGAAAATATTAAAATTTTTTGCATAATCACAAATTTTTAAAATGCAACATTGATTGGATGATCGTTATCATCATCATCATCATCGCCATCATTACCCCTATCATTATCATCATCAGCACAATCATCATCAACACCATTGTCATCATCACAATCGTCATCATCGCCATCATCATCATCATCAAAACCTTCGAAATGCAAGATGGCGAGCCTTGTCAGGGCCACATTTCTATTCACATGTATGACGACTCTGTTGCTATTAGTGACCATCACGTGATTAATGCGAAAGTCATTCGAGCACAAGGTCAACTTCCGGTCCGTGTTGTTTCCGTCTTTTAATGTCAAGGCCTGTTTTGTCGTTTTTATTTTAATTTCATCCATTCGTTCATTTATTCGTTCGTTCATTCATTCGTTCGCTCATTAGTTGGTTGGACGAATGGATGGGTGGTTTGGAGAATGATTAAATGGATGAATGAATGAATAGATGGATGGATGGATGGATGGATGGAAGAATGAATGAATGAATGGATAGATGACGCGCGAATGTTTCAAAAATATAATTAAATTTTAAAATTTAAAATACCGATGGATTTATTAAGAAAATATTCATGTATTCATAGAAAGTTGATTGATGCAATATTAACCAATACACAACAAACATAGACAAATAAGCAAACACACATATACGAATAAGCGAACATATGAACAAGCAAACAAATAAACAAAGAATTAATTGAAGAGATACATCATGTGAGGCAAGAAAACAAAACAATGAATATGAAACAAAACAAAGAGTATGAAACAGGACAAAGAATATTAAACAAAACGAAGAGTATGAAACAAAACAAAGAATATGAAACAAAACAAGGAACTGACAGCATTTAATTAAACGCAATTAATCATATTTAATTAGAATTTTCGCCAACATACGACTATAATCATAACCTGTGTGACAAGACGATTATTAGCTCTGTGATGGATGGATTGCGGATGAACAGAATGAAAAAAAATATATAAATAAATGAATAAAAGATGGATAAAAATAGAAGCCGGAAGAGGAAAAAGTATTCCATCGTTTGTTATGATGCTGAGATGATTATACTGTCATGAAGAATTGATAACGTGTATATCACACATACACAACGTCACGTACACAACACACATACACAACACACGTACACTACACACATACACAACACACGTACACAACACACGTACATGTCACATACGTCACATGCACGTATTTATTTGTATCTTCATACATTTTTGTGTGGTTTTGTTTATGTGTGTGTATATCTAAATTACGCGAAGATTTCATAAGCAGATTTTTAAGTGCTTCTAAACACACACACAAACACACACACACACGCACACATAAAAATACATACAAACACACAAACACACGATAAACACAAACACCCTAAAAAACAAATTACAAAACAATCTGTATGAGTTCGTATTTGTGTGTTTCTACGTCTGTCAATACCTGTCTGTATATCTGAAGCTGTGTGTACACTGTGTATATGAATATAAATAACATACATATATTATTTGTTTGTATAAATGAAACGTATTTAATGTATGCATATTTGTTTCGTAATGTATCGTATACATATTTATGTTTGTAATCTACAGTGGAGAATTTGCATAGAGTAACACATGCCTAATGACAATCCATCAAAAAAAAAAAACCAGTCGTAGCTTTCTATACTTCTCCATTTATTCTATGTATATTTCTCTAGTACTAACGCTTTCACTGGCAACATCAATCATATGACACATCTATTATCCCACATACACACCTATCTATAAATTCTTCCGATACATATACATCACTTTTATACGAAACGAAACGACGTGCACACATACATATACTTGCATACATATATATATATATATATATATATATATATATATATATATATATATATGTATATGATGATATATATATACGTGTATATCACGTGTATATATTTTGTATATATATATATATATATATATATATATATATACAAACATTACAATATCTGTACACATAAAGTACACACTTGTATAGGAATACTCATACATAGATACATACACTGATAAATATATATATATATATATATATATATGTGTGTGTGTGTGTGTGTGTGTGTGTGTGTATGTGTGTCAGTTTGTGTATGTCAGTTTGTGTGTGTGTGCATGTGTGTGTGTGTGTGTGTGTAGTTTCATAGTCACAATACGTCAAAGCGTTCATAATACAAAGGTACGCACAAGGGTACCACTGGAGTGATTGAATGGGGTACTTACTTCCAGAAAGATTGTACATACACCAACACGCATACGAAACGAAACGAAACGAAATTTTATTTGCTTCTCAATATTCAAAATTAATAAGAAAGCAGGAAGACCATAATAGAATTTGTATAGAAATTCATCTGGTATGGCCATACATGCATACAGACATACATACATACACGATACATAAGAATAATACACACACACGTACAAACACACATACATGCATACATACATACATACATAAATACCAACGCATACATACGTACTTATATACAAACAAACAAACACATATGCATACGTACAAAACTCTGACAAAACTGAAGACAAAATCGTAGCATCAGTCATCGTTACGTCACCGAACTCGTGACGCGAATGACATTTCATGAAGCTCATGACATCAATCTTTATATATTTCGTGTCATTAAGTACAGAGATGACAAGAAAGACAATGGCAACATCATTGATTGCATCAACAACAACTGAAGAACCAGCAGTAGCGTGCTTACAACAACATTAACAAGTTGAAATTGCAGAAAAAATTGTAAAAAAAACTAACAACACATTCAAAAATCATCAACAAAGAACAAAAACTCAAAGAAAAAC